TAAAATAAAAAGTATAACAAAACATTGATAGTATGTGTTTTCGGGCAAAATGAATTCTGCATTTGCCTCATGCAAACAGTTTGATTCCTGGGACCGACAAAACGCATGTTGTCGTCAAACCAAGTTAATAAATGTATAATAACAAAAGTTTCCTTTAATGTAATCACTGACTTCTTTGTTCAATAGAATGACCTTGTCGGAAAATTCAATCTTTCAATTAGTCAAATAGTTGACATTTGTGAGGCCATTATTAATCAACACACTGAATTATCGACGGATTTTTCCGTTATACCCCGATCAATACAAGGAGTGCATGGCGGGTGTGACCGGTCGTCAGGGGATACTTACTCCTCCATGCCGGCTGATCTCACTTTTCGATGTTTTAGAGGTCCTTGTGAGCTCTGCTCCTGATTTTTATTGTTTTAATGGATTTTTGAGCTTGAAAACTTATCATTATCTCCATATATTTCAAATATAAATAATGCAAGGTGTGGACTAAAATTCCAATTAGAATTGTGTTGAACATTTTTTTTCTTAACAGTTTTTTTTTTAATTTACTCATATCAAGAGAAAAACCACAACATTTGAGATTACCTCATATATTGATCAGAAAGAATCAGTATGATTTGATTTGCTTTTCTTGATTACTGATCAAGAATTTAATTGCTACAAAAGTGATTTGACAAAAAATCTTAAGTCTTAAGTATATAAAAATACATATGTTGTTCAAGAATCAATTAGGTTAATAAAATTAAAATATATGTAGATGAATATAAATGAAAAAATGCACGTTTGTGTAAAAAAATAATATCTATACGAATGAAACATTATTTGCCAATTAAACTGTAACGTTAATGCAGTTATAGTTGAATATTAGCATGATTCGTTCATAATTTAAATGCTGAACTAATAATTATTTATTTAATCAATTAAAGATATCAATTTTATGCACTTAAATAAAAAGATATCAATTTTATGCACTGAAATAAGTATCATAAGGTACATGTATTAAACAGATGGGATTGGCTAGGACGTAGCGTCCTAGCTAGTTTATTGACGCTGAAGATCTCGCCATAGACATGGAAGCAGCTGGCACTCCTGTGTAATACATGTTGTCTAACAACGAAATGATTCAGAAAATCTTCTTGAAGTCAGATGGTCACCATCTAAATGATTTATTATTTTCAAAAAAATGATTCTGATTTTGATCATCTATCCCTCTATGGTATAAGTACAAGTGCTGTTCAATGAATAATGTCCTCGGTGCTCGGAAAGACGCAAAAGACGCTTTTCAATGATTTAGTCTTTATGATTTAACTTATTATTCTCTTTTAATTAAAACACATGTCCGTAACATTTTCTGATTGTTTTTAGAACTCATTTTTGGGTATGACCCTTAGTATACTAGAAAATGGCAGATCCTATGATTTCCTGGGCTTTTTTCTTCCTTCTGAAAGGTGTTTTTTTTTCAATTTTGGAAATAGAAACAAGTCAAAAGGTCAAAGATCTAGCGAATATTGTTAATGTGAAAAAACATTAACTTTCTGTTTATCCCGAAAACCCCTTTACTCTTCAGGGCGTGCAAGTTTGGACGCTGTCATGAAGAAATTTGATGCAGTGGATTCCTGGTTCTAGGTCCTTCCTCTAATAAACCTCTCGATTATTTTGCAAAAAAATTGCTTTCTAGACTCCTCCAGAAATTAAACTGTCTCTCCAAATACGAATTTGAACAACAATAACACTAATATTTAAGAAAATTGCATATAAATTGGTCTTTGTGCTCTTGCAATTCTTTGCTCTTGTTCAGACCTTCGCTGTTTTTATCTAGTACATCTTATAGTAAATTTTGTTTTGAGGATTTTAAGCAATAGATTTAAGTTTCATTATCTGTTTGAATATCAAACAAACGTGGATAACTACAATTACTGATATTCTAAAATAATTGTTAAGACATTCGTACATACTGCTGTTTTCACTCATTTTCAAAATATAGGGTGACTTTTGAGTATTAAGCTTTTTACTGTCAAACGTTTCTTAAAACAAAACTACTCCTGAAATGATGTCAATAAAATTTGCTATGTGTCTTAAAGTCAGTCATACATCATCAAATATTATTTGTTGAAATTTGGCAAACAGTACATATATGTAAGTTGTTATAATTTTTTGTTGCCAAGGACGGTACCCATTTTTGATGCCCATGATATAAGTTTTGTTCATTGAAATCCACCTGTGTCTATAAAACAGACATTGGTTGCTGTAAATTTCACATATTTCAGTGAATATTTCTTTGGGATTTTTAACAAGTTTTACAGCAACTTTAATGAAGCTTTTATTTTCATTCTAGTTTACTGATTCTGTGCTATTCATTTATAATGCAGTGTCTCGAATAGCCCTTGTTTTCCAGCTTCTCACAATGAAACTATGTGAGGAAAAGTGGTCACATAAACTGTTATAAATTCATGAAAGATTCAATAATGAGACAAAGTCATGCTTAATGTCATATGATACCTGTATTGTATGTCATACAGTTCAGGACATTATTCATTGAACAGCCGTCGTATATTAGGAAAAAAAAAACATTTTGAAAAAAGTATTAGAAACCATTAGTATTGTACCTCTCAAAATGAAAAAAAAATCGCAAGTTTTATATTGATTTATATACATAAATGTTTTCTTGTAATGAGAGAAGGCAATTCTTGCTATTCGCAGTTTGTTTCTGCTTAACGTCTTGTATAAAAAATACCAAGTACTATTTAGTGAAAAACATTTATTGAAACTATCAAATGACTAAAGCTACATAGACTCATGTAACAATTAATTGACTGGGCTTTACACAGAATATAAAGTATATGACAAGTTGACTAGTTAAACATGCTGACTAGTCACATGACATAACTTTTAATAATCACATGTCGAAAATAGCTCAGTTAATAGGCAATGGTAAAAAAGTAGTGTACATTTTTACAAGATTATAAAGATTGAAATTCAGAGGCAAGAAATCATCTATGATATTTTTACTTAAGATATCAAACACCTTTAAGATTGTTCTACAACAATGTTCCACCACCTCTCTATTCAATCGAACCCTTACAGCTAAGCCGGTGTAAAGACGAATAATGACCCCCATCGAATAAAGACCGGGGGTCATTTTCAACGACAAAAAATGACCCCCTACCCGTAGAAAAAATTCATTTTTTGTAGAAAAAGTGTCCTAGGGGTCATTATTTTATATGTTAGTCCTATAAAAAATTGACCCCCATTGAAAAATGACCCCCTTTAAAGTGAAAAGAGATTCTTTAATTGTCAAGTAAATAAAATTTCTTTTTGATATTCCTCCTTATAGTGTTTGCTTAAAGAATGATATTATACTTGTTTTTAGAAATCAAACCATGCAACAATCAGGTTCTAATACTCTTTAATATAAAAATTAATTTTTCCTTCATTTCAACGTTTAGTTTGTATACATTTTGCAAATCCTATTTGACAATCAAAGAGGAGGAAATTTTTAACCCCCCCCCCCAAAATACGTTTAATCAAAAAAAAAAAAATGAAAAGCAAAAATATCAATAAAACTCTATATCTTTCAATAATACAAAGAGGCTCTAGATAAAATATTGAAATGAAATTAAGCCTTCACACAAGTTCTATCATATCATAATTTACTTTGCCATGATTAAAGCATACTTTAAATGTTGGTGGTGGTATACTTGAAAGTATCACTTGTGGCAAAGTAACAGTTGAAAATTAGTAGAATAGTAGGTTATTTTAAGCTTATTTTTAGTCCCTCCTTATAGAAAAATAAAGGTAGGGTAGTTTTTTTGTTACTTTTGTTGATAATCGACTTCCTCCTAAATAAGTAAGGGGGTGGGGTGGGTATAATACGTAAAAATATGCTCTGTAAAGTTATGGGCTAGTGTAAAATACACATTCTAATGCAAAAACTATACAAGTAGACATAACCTTTTAATTTAGCACACAGTATTCATTACATTTCTTAATTCTTGTTTTACTCCACAGGCACACTTTTACCCAGTTCTGAGTATATGAAAAACAGAACAAACATTTTCATTTTTGTAACGTCTTCTTTATACTGTATCATAATATGAAAAGTTAATTGAAGACCATTTCTTTTTATATCACCGTAATCGAAGATTCGGGTTTTCGTTTTATCGTGTCCGTCTGTATGTCTGCCTGTCTATCTGGCGGTCTGTTTCTCCGCAAAAACTCTAACCTTGACCATAACTTTTCAATTATTGTAGCTATGCCTTTCATATTCAATATATGTATATTCCTTGTGACAAGACCTTACTTTGGGTATCACCAAATTTGACCTTTTGACCTTTACCTTGGGGTTTGTCCCATTTTACACAAAAATGCCAAATTTTTAATTTACTTTAGTTATAACTTTTAAACGGTAGATACTAGTACTCTCATACTTCACAAATGTAATCCTTGTTACATTAAACCTTTCTTAAGAAACCATCAACTTTGATCCTTTGACCTTTGAGTTTGACCTACCTTTCAAACACTTATCCTTAGCCATTAATTTTAAACAAGTGGTGCTAGGGCTTTCCTATTTTGCAATTGTATTTCTTGTGAGAAGACCCTACTTTGGGTACCATTATATTTATATTGCATTTTTAAAAAGTTTAATCTTCGCTATGTTGCCATACAGGGGCATAGCTGTTTCATAAACACATCTTTTTATATATAAGAGGAGTTGCAGATAACAGATGGATACACCAAAGCGTAACAGACGGACGGACGAACATCCCGATCACTATTTACCCTCCCGCTTTTCAAGCGGAGGATATAATAATACATGTATATGATAGTGCTGATTTTTTCTGTCAGTACGATGATTTCCACCATCGAAATCTTTACTACTTTAGATTCTGAATCATCGCATTGGCCTTAAAATATAACTATAATCGTATGTTATGAGATCAACATATCATCAATTTATTCCAAATAAGCTCAGATGAGCATTTTGGCCAACATGCTTCTTTATCTAATTTTTTTTGCCCCCTAAAAATTTCAGCTTTATTAATCCACAGGGAGTCATTTTTCTACGGGGGTCATTTTTCTTCACGTGGGTTCTGCAAATTTTTAGGGTGGTGACACTTTTTCTACGGGCAAAAGAGTCATTTTTCTACGTCGAATAATGACCGGGGGTCATTTTTCGCCGTAGAATATTGACCGGGGGTCAATTTTCGCTGTCGAAAAATAACCCTCGGTCATTATTCGATGGGGGTCATTATTCGTCTTTACACCAGACGTAATCAAGAGGCGATATATTTCTTTGAGATAATCACCCACACGCAGACTCTTTTTTTCAAAACGTAGATGAAATCGATAAGGATCATTTTTCAGCTTCAAAAGATTCATGCATTATTCATAGCTCTTATGTAATTTGCAATGAATATTTCAACCGATTAAATTACGTTATTTTGAACTATTTTCAGTCTCAAAGTTTATAAACCTATACCTTATGAGTCATTTTATTATAAATCGTACTTTTTCGAAAATATATCGCCTGTATTTCCAAAAAATTGTAAGAATACTGAAATGAAAATTGAAGAATACAAAAATTACAATTGATTTAAGCATAACTGCATTAGGTTCATGGCAAACATATATATTGGTATCCTACATTAATACATTCAGATGTGCTAAAACAACATAGAAATCATTACAATGTTCTGTCCTCTGTGAAGAATACAAAATTAAATATTTTTTATCGAATTAATAATTTTCCTATAGCGGTATGTTTCTAGACTCACTGGACTAAAGGATTTATTGAGATACCACTCCTCCATGCACTGCAATGCAAGGGGCTGATAGTCGTGATAAAACTTATTGGCAAATAGTTCTTTTTCGGATACAAGTTTATTTAGATCACCGATTCCAAACACGCAGACGTCCCTTACGTATTTTCCATGGCAATCCTCGGATCCCTGCCAAGTTACACTAACTGCTATCCACAATGTTCGGTCTGGAAATCCTACAAAATGTGCACTTTCTATTAAGAAATCAATTAACATGGCATTTACACGCATGCATAACACTCTCTGTAGTAAAGTAAAACATTGAAAGGTTTTACTAAAGTAAAATGTATATCTAAAGTAAAGTTTCCATTTTTCCAACTAAGTTAATTCAATATATTTTACTATGAAGTACTATTTCTAATGCATATGGAGTGGTAAAGTTATAATGGTTTTTGTTAGAGTTTCAATATTTAGAATACTATTAAGGATAAAGTACTTACTTTGTTGTAAAAGTATGAATTAGAGCCATCAGTGTTTTACATAAAGTTTTGTTTTAGTGTCTATATAATATATTTGAGCCAACATGAACATTGTTTAAATCTACATATTCAGTTTAAGTAATGATTTTATGACTTTCCAGCTGATGAATACAGAAAACAAGAGTACACAGAAGGAAACAAAGTTTAGTGAGTATACATGTATATGCTTGTAACGTCTAAAACTGCCATATTCCGTTTTATTTAGAAAGTCATAGATTTTAAAAGATCAACTTAACAGTAAAGATTAAGAACGTCTGATCAATGATTACATGGATATAAGTTAATAAATGCATGCATAATTAATTGGGGGTAGATACGAGAAACTGATTGCCTGGGAGACATAGCGAAGAATTAAACTATTATAATGGAAAAAAATTAGCAAGCTCAAATACCAATAGCTCCCAAATTGTGTGACAATGCTAGCTACACATAACTAACGAGAAGGTTAGCTTAGCATTAAATACAACAAATAATAACCACTCCCCAACCCCTTTAATCCCAAAATCATATCAGTTTCCGTGTGAATATGCACATCTACATGTATAGTTTTAACAACAATATTTCACAAAATTCCGTCAAGAAGTTTCTTAAGAATTTGCGCTTTCAAATTGTTGTGGCAGAGTAATTAATCTTAGTCAAAGTTTTAAGTTCAAAATGAACATATCTCCAGAAATAGAATTGAATCGTTTTCTCCAAATATGCATATTTTCACATTATGTCCTTATTAACTATTAAGTTTCACGAAATTCTATATAGTGGTTTCAATCTTGCACTTGTTCTCTAATACTACTTAAGTGAATATTGTCTGATAGTTTTCAAAAACAATATGAATTGACTATGCACTTTTCTTCTATTCAATCATGGTAAAGATCTCACGACGGGTATGACCGGTCGGCATGGGATACTTTCTCCTCTATCGTATCCCATCCACATCTGATGTGACTAGAGAGCACACAATGAGTATTTATTCAGTAGACTCCTGATTTTATTACTGTTATTATTCCTTTGATAGCTTGTTATTATACATAATATACAAGTTATCAATTACATGTAACACACATCTTATACGTACGAGAGTCATTCATTATAAATGATGAAACATACAGTATTTCATAATAAAAGTTCAAGTATTTGATTTAATTTTTTCACAGTTGAAAAGCACTATTAAAATGCTTCTTGACAGAGAAAACTTAGTGATATGTTTATTTCATAATTTGGAAAAGATAAGTAAATGTTTAAGGTGTTGGATGGGAATGTGACAAATTGTATTATTTTTCACTCGGTAAGAAGTGTGAACAATGGATGTGGAGCTAGTGAATGAGTATCTCATAAATGTAAAAATTCAGCTTTTTTCCATTCATCGTTGAAGAGTTCACTTTATGAATGATTTTTTTTATATTTGAAAAAGTAGTTTTTAACGATGTATAGTTTCAGATGGATTCAAAAAATTAAAAGCAAGAACAATGGTCTAACTGGTCAATTAAAATCTGTAGGGACACCAAAACATTATGCTGTGTGCAACAGGATATCTGAGAATAGAAGATTTATACTGAAAGACATATCTTAGACACGTAACATTTCACCTTCGTTACATTTTTTTTAAAGAATACTTACAAAGGAAATGAATATGATATTTTTATCAAATGTGTGCCTTATCTTTCTTCAAATTTTGACGTTGAAAGTTCTACAATAACTGTTTCTTTGTAAATTTGTTTGAATTGTGTAACAGATCAAAACTTTTACATCAGAAGTACAAAATCGAATACATGTAATTGTTTAATTAAGAAAATACTCAATTTGAAATTCTATTGAAAGGCTTTGATCCACAAAATATATTTCTTTGGGTATGCATTTAAATTATTAACATATTTACATTTATTATAATACAGGGGAAAATGTGGCAATCTCGTAAAGAAAAAGTGTGATAAGGGGGTCTTTATCCCAATTTTTTTTTGGATCTAAATAAAATTAAGCACATGGCACAGAGAGGGGCAAAATATTTTAATTTCATAAAGAAATCAAAACAAAAAAATCAATTAAAAAACCTGGTACAATGTGAGACATATGAAAAAGGATTTTTAACTGATTCCCATGATTATCTTTTCTACATTTTATGATCAAATTGTTTTATTCCAAAAATTCTTCATCTTAATATGTTGGCTGTTCCCCTAACAATTATACAATTATTATGTATATTCCTGCAACATACCTAGTACATGGGGGACATTTAGGTGTTTATTGCTAGCCAGTGTCGCCCAAAAGAATTCGTCGGGACTATAAGCGACATTTAACCAATTTAAATCAACCTGAGCTTGTTTTGACATCATTTTTTGACTAATTCACAAAGATCCAACTTAAAACACCATAAGCATTTTTATATATATTTTCAACTTCTTTCACTTAAACTTAGATCAAGACTTAGCCACAGACATTTATGGACTCTATGGACTCCACCTCCTTTCATTTTTCTTTGAAATCAGGGATCGGCGCAGTTTTTTCCTTCATAGTTGGGAATTCTAATTTTTCGTTAAGTTATATCAAGTTATCGATAATGTGAACCTTTTGTCTATATAAACAGTCTTAAATTTATCTTTTTCGATTGATTCATATAAAAGAGTCGAAACGGAGATATTTAAAAACAGTTTATGGAGACAAAGGGCTTAACTTATTGCTAACATGAAGCGACTTAATTAGAATACAGGAAAATGTAGCAATCCCCAAAAGAAAAGTTTGTGAAAAACTGATGCCCCTGTATGGCAACATAGCAACGATTAAACTTTCTCCAATACAAATCAAATATGTTGGTACCTAAAACATTCTCACAAGGAATACTTTTGTGAATTATGTAAGCTCAAGCATCATTTGTTCAAAAGTTATAGCCAAGGGTTAAGTTTTTAAAAGGTAGGTCAAACGCCTGGGTCAAGGTCCATAGGTCAAAGTTGAAAGATCTTGTCACAAGGATTACATATGTGAAGTATGAAAGCCCTAACCGTTCGAAAGTTATGAACAAGGCTAAAGTTTTTTTTAAAAAATAGGTCAAACTCAAAGTCATGGTCAAAGGGTCAAAGTTGTTGGTATCTAGTAAAAGTTCTTGGCAAAAGAATAACAATTAAAATTTTTAAAAATTTTAAATAATCTTGATCAAATTAAGCATTACGGTAAAGAAAAGCAAAATATCTTAATTTTCATGGTTCGTTATTTTCTTCAAAACGGACCGCTAGAGGTATTAGCAGAAATGAAATACGTAGTTTATTTATGTATATTTTATATATTATGCTTATTTATACAATTTTTTTTCTGCATTTCTAAACAAACAAAGTGTCCTCTAGTTTTCTATATCATCTTTATCATGATTTCGGATTCCAGTTAGGGCTAGGATGGTTAAACACTGACAAAATATTAATTAATATTTTTCATTTTTTTTCTTAAATTCTTCAAATAAAAAAAAAATAAGCAAAAAAAAATTATTTTTTAAAAAAACTGGTACAATGTGAAACAGATAAAAAATATTTTCAACTGATTCCCAAAGATTATCTTTACTACATTTTATGATAAAATTTCTATTGCACAAATTCTTCATCTTTAAATGTTTGTTATGTATATTCCTGCAACATACCTAGTACACCGGGGACATTTAGGTGTTTATTGCTAGCCAGTGTCGCCCAAAAGAATTCGTCGGGACTATAAGTGTCATTTAACCAATTTAAAATAACCTGAGCTTTCACATCATTTATTGAATAATTCACAAAGCTCCAACTAAACACACCATATGCACTCCCTTTTCCAACAGTGATATTAGAAGGTGGCGGATCTTTTTTCTTCCCTGTTGACTCCATTTTCCCTTTCTGTACAGTGTAAGATACGTTGCATCGATAATACGATTTCTCATCGTAAACACTCTCGATGCTGCTCATTCCATTATAAATTTTCAAAATCTTAACAATTTCTGCGTTTGTTTTCAAGGGATAAACTTGGGATGGTAAATTGATGACATATTTCCATTTAACATCAGTTTGATTTAGTAAGTCAGACATACAATTCAAGTCCGCTTTTAGTCGGGAAATTCCAGCATACACAACTTCCTCTAATTTTGAAGCAATGAAAACATTGGGAAGACAATTTGAAATGGCCTCCAAGGCATGTAATAAAGAAGAATTTGAACTCTTGTCCACGTGTATACAATAAATATTCTGTGGTCGATAAATAGTTCGAAGCAATTTTTCTGTTTGTGTGGCATCCTTGTGAGTTAATATTGTGTAAGCAATCGGAAACTCAAGTTCATCTTGGGATACGAGGAAATTGTCATAACTATGTTCCTGAAAGAAATGTTCACAGTTTTGAGCCAAACTTCCTATTTGATTATCTTTTAAAAATGTATATGTTCTTTTTGACATCGTATCATTGACTACTGATATGTACTCTTCGTCCCCTTCAATTACCCGTCGACAATCAAAGTCATGGACCACTTTCTTAAGGTCTAACCTTAAAGGGAATGGCGTCGAGGGCATGGAAATGGTATGGTGGGGTCTTCTTATTTGTTTGCATGGTGTGTCGATCATTCGAAATTCTATACATCGATACATTGCAAAAATGACAGCAATAAATACACAGCTTCCGACACATTTCCGATATTTTAAAACCATTCTTAGAGAAAAACAATGCATGAATCTGTAAAAAAAGATAAATCATAGAATTATATTATGCTATAAATACTATATACATTTTTTAAGCATTCAATACTTTTAGAAATTACGTATCAAAAATAGAAAAATACAAACAAACAAACAAACAAACAAACAAAAAAAAAACAACAAATCTAACACACTGCTTTATAGAAATATTTAGATAAAAATGGATTTTTCTGCTGAATCCGTAACAATCAATCAAAATTATTTGCCTTTTTCCTTGTAAAAGGTTCTCATTGATGAAATATGGAGATAACATACAGAATTCAAGTTCATAGGCTCTTCTTATAAAACAAATCAGAAGCATAGCAAACACAGACATCTGGGGAAAAACGGAAAATCCGTAGACAATCGAATATGATTTCGATTATTATACTGGACAAGTAGTAGGAACAAATTTTTATAATCATTTATGTAACCCAAATAACGTCTTACTAAAACGTTTTGTACCATCTGAAAGTAATCAAATGTAAGTGGGTTTTATATGAAGAAAATAATCCATAACAATATTTTAGATATACTGGTCCCTGCTGAAAAAAGCAGATAACCACATTGTCTTTGTTTATAAGGCTTACTCCTTAGTATATATATTGAACTGAACTAAGGAGGAAATTCTTCAAAATCATAAGTCAGTTTTGAATATTTTTAATATTCCGCAAAATCACACCTATATTGGATTCCAAAACTTCACTAAAATCCTTATAAACATAGATACATAGCAGGTTCCAGCAAATGTTCCTCTTTCTTTACTCCTCATTAAGATACTAACAGTAGTGAAGAAGAAACAAAAAAAGTTCTGTGCAACAATATATTCGAAAATTGGTGTAAATCAGATGTGCATTCTTTAGAATTCTTAGGAATATTTGGAAAATTTGAAATCACAAAAAATTACCAAAATCAACAGCATAAAAACTTACGACTTTTCAACTTTGTATACTACCATTCCTCACGATAAATTAAAGTCCAAGCTTTTTTTTTATATTATTGACAACTGCTTTAAAAAAATGGAACTCGTAAATTTACTACGATTTTTAATAATCCACATCTGATTTACATCACTTCTTGAATATTTTGTTGCACAGTACTCTTGAAACTTCTCCTTCACTGCTGTTAATATCTAAGAGAGGAGTAAAGAAAGAGGCTTGGTTGAACATTCACTGGAACCCGCTATGTAATTTTTTGTAAGGATTCTTATGAAGTTTTGGAATCCAATCTATATATGGCAGTTCAAATTCATTTTGGTTCATTGGAATATTAAAAATATTCAAAACTGACATAATATTATAATTTTGAAGAATTTCCTCCTTAGAAAGGGAACTCTGAGTTGATAAATTAAAAAAGATGCTTGAATTTCAGATTGATAACATGTGGTTTTTGGAGACCAGGTCTACCAACAATCTATTGGAAGTCCCATAGGTACCATTTGCGCTCTGTTATAAGCAATCTATTTTTTATTCAATTAAAGCAGAATCTGTTCAAAATCTTATACGTGAATGAAGGAAAGAACTTGCTCACTCTTCGAAGGCCCCTAATCCGACCCACGATTTTTGGAGGTCCGTGGTTGCTCTGCACCAATGTTGTATTGCTTATTGGACTTCTGAGCTTTAATACTGTTTGTTACCTCCATATATTTCATTTGTTATGCAAAATGTCATACTGAGTGAATATGTAAGATTATGGTAATCAAATTGAAATTGTAGATGAGGATTTATTGTTGGCCAATTTTACCCAAAAGCAATATGCTGCTGATCAAATACAAGGAATGCAATTGCAAACCAGTTTAGTAAGATTATATCTTACTTATATATTCACTATGTCTGCCAGATTTTTTCATTATTTTTTTTATCCTGTACATAACTAAATTTAAAAATAGTATACTTTATTTTAAAAGAAAATTCATTTACAATTATCTATGATTTGAATTAATAGTCTCTAAATTGCAAGTTTCAAGTTTCAGATATAATGCATTTTATTCCATTCATTGCAAATATACATGTTGTCAAATTTTGCTTTTCCTTAAGCAAATCAATGCTTTTTTCCTACCTTATGATAACTTCGATCACAGCTGAAGGAATCCGGTGGTTTTTAATAGATAACACTTCTTAAATTCCACATATTTTATAAATATTTCTTTGTATCTTGTTCATTAATCTGCAAGGTTTTGGGATATTATCATTTTTTAAACAAACTTGCATTCGTTATAATAACAGCAAGCAATATTCACTAATAGCAATCCATTTTTGCACACGGCATGTAACTATAGGAAACATGATATCAACCTCAAATGCCCGTTGTGCGCAGTAATTAAAATGCAACTACATGTACAAGCAAAGCCTTTAATGTAGAGATCTAGTTACTCAAAGAAGCCTTTAATTTGGTTGAGAGAAAATAAAAATAAAAAAGTTGATATCATAAGAATACCAAAATTCTAAATTGACAACATACATGTATATGTTGTCTACGGAAACTGTCTTCCAAAAATTTAAACTGTAAGAAAGTATTATTCGTTAATGCTGTTATTTTGGAATTAAGGTAAGGAAAGCGTCAATTGTCGTATTGAGTTTTGTTTCTGGCAAATTGCTAATAAGGGGTGCATCATTTCTGTATCAAGAACAATTTTGAGTGGAGACTTGATTAAGAATTGCAGAACTGAAAGAGAGCTTTCAAGACTAGAGAGGAGGCGATAATTTTAGAAGCCTCAATAGAAACTTTAGTTTTATGCTACAGTAATCCAAGATTTGGGAGTATATAGATTTTGCCTTGGCTGTCTTTCTGTTTATCTGTTTGTCCTCAAAAACCTGAACCTTGCCCAAAACCTTTGACTGGATGGGGATATGGCTTTCATATTTTACAGGGTGTATTCCTTGTCATAAGACCTTTCTTTGGGTACCGCAGTATTTGACCTCTTGACCTTGGAGTTTGGCCTACCATTTTACAAAAACAAAACAGAAAAAAAAAAAAACTTTAACAATGGTCATAACTTTTGAACAGTTTGTGCTAGTTCTTTCATACTTCACATGTGCATTCATTGTGAAAAGATCTTTCAACTGACATAAATATTTTTGAGCTTTTGACCTTGATCTTATGAGTTTGACTCACTTAACTTTTTAAACAGTTAGTTCCGGACGTTTGTGAGAAACACTGACTTTAACAGTTAACGGCTTACTTTTACATTGAAACAATGGACGGAAACTCTTTGACGATACTCAGTATTAATATTTAGCTTAATATTTAATTCAAAGAAGATAACGGGTTATTTCAAGGCACAAATTAGTTGTCCTTGAAGAAAATGACAGCCACCCTCAACTTCCGACCTTCACATATGAATGTCATTAACATCATACCTATGACCACTAGAAAGGTTTTCTTATCTATTATCAATTTTTACCTCCGTACATGACACAGGTTTAATCTTTAACTGTAAAAGTCAGTGCAATGAAACAACATGCCTGCTGAAACAACATAACATAGTTTATTTGTATGAATTTTGCAATTTTAAAACATTTCTTTAAAAATAGAATTACTTCTTTTAATATCTAGACCTTTCAGATGGCTCTATAACTAATATCATCTTTTTAAATTAAAATATAAATTTAACATGTCTCAAGGAGGCATAGTTAAGTGCAGAAAAAGTAGTATTCAAGAAAGTACTATGCTTTTATTAGACCTGATTATACCTTGATATGAATATGGTACATCAAGCTAGGTAGGAAGACCTAGCACTTTTTAAAATACACAGATAGTGATTCAGATGTTTCCCTTTGATAATTTTTATAGATGATAATTTTGAAGGGTTTGCAATATAAAAAAAAGACTGTTTGCAATAGACGAAAAATTGCATCGTGGGGGATGCAACTTTTGCACACGGCACAAAATCGAAGGTCTCGTTTAATAAATAATGTTGCATCGAAACTGCGCAATTTTGATCTGTTCACACAATGCATTTAAAACACGGAAGATTTCGGAAAATTGCATGTTTTTTAAATTTTGTTAACTCGTTAGTTTTACGCTTGAAGAGATTGTTACAAAAGACAATTTCTATTGTGTGCGTAATGTGACCATGTTACCAATAAAACTCCCCAGTAAAAATATGCATATTGAAGGTACTTCTTACCCTTAAAACTGTGCAGTCAAAATTAATTTGCCAAATAGAAATTTTGGCGAATTTTCCAGATAAAAAAAATATTTTTTTTAGGACTCTACTGATATCAAACAAAAATCGATTAGATTTTTTTCTTAAATTTGTCAGGTGGTGTCGGAATTACATAATTTTATCAAATTTACTTGCAGCATTGAGGTAATCTATAAATTTCAATATTGCAAGGACATAAACTAGATAAAACAAGATGTGTTTGTGAAAAACTGATAGCCCCGTATGGAAACATAGCGAAGATTAAACTTTTCTTAAATGCAAATTAAATATATTGACCAGTACCCAAAGTAGGTTCTTCTAACAAGAAATACTATTGTGAAATATGAAAGCCATAGCACCACCTGTTCAAAATTTAAGTTTTTGAAAGTAAGGTCAAACTCGAAGGTCAAAGGGTCAAAGTTATTGGCTTCTTAAGAAAGGTCTAGTGTCACAAGGATTACATATGTGAAATATGAAAGCCCTGGCCCTAACGGTTCAAAAGATATGGCCAAGGTTAAAGTTTTTAAAAAAGAAGGTCATATTCCAAAAGTCAAGGTGAAAGGGCAAAAGTTCTTGATATCAAATAAAAGGTCTTGTCACAAGGATTAAATATTTGAAGTATGAAAGCTCTAGACCAAAATCTTCAAAAAAATTCACGGTTTGTTTTGAAAAGTAGATCAAACTTTTAGGTCAAGGTAAAAGGTTCAAAGTTTTTGGTATCCTTTTAAGGGTCTTCTCACAAGAATAACATAATTATGTGAAGTATGAAAGCCTTAGTCCTTACCGTTCAAAAGTTATAGCCTAGGTTGTTTTTTCATAAGTACGAAATCTCCAAGATCAAGGTCAAAAGGTCAAAGTTTTTGGTATCCATTGAAAGGTCTTGCTACAAAAAATACATATATGAAGTACGCAAGTCCTAGTATCTACCGTTCAAAAGTTATGGCCAAAGAAAAAGTATGGAATTTTTGTGTAAAAGATGGTCAAACTCCAAGGTATAGGTCAAAAGGTCAAATTCGGTGGTACCCAAAGAAAGGTCTTGTCACAAAGAATAAACTTGTGAAATATGAATTTCATAGCTCCACTAAATCAAAAGTTAAGCAAGATTAAAGTTTTGTGGACACACAGACAGACAGACAGGTAAAGAGACAGACAGCTAAACAGACAGACGGACGGACACGACAAAAACTATATACCCTCTAATCTTCGATTAAGGGGGCATAAAAATCTCAGATAGGCAAGACTGTGCTGTCTGATTCCTGAAAAGAAAAGTATATCAAATATGACGAAATTCCACAAGAATTCTGACCTCTGTGTAAGCGTTGAATCAAAATTAGTGCTGGTTTTAAAACAAGCATTATTTTCAGTTCTTCACTACAAACTACCACAATTTGAACAGTGTTCTGATTCAACATAAAAAGGGGGCAATTGTTAGTCCATTATTTATACACTGAATTGACGACGGATTTTTCCGTTATTTCACGATCATGACAATGAGCACACGGCGGGTGTGACCGGTCAGCAGGGGATGCTCACTTCTCCATTGCATCTGATCCCACCTTTGAGGTTTTGAAGGTCCGTGTTTGCTCTGCTCCTAATTTGTATTGTTTTATGGACTTTTATATTGAATACTGTTCGTTATCTCCATATCCTTCTTATACCATTACATGGTATACAACAATTAACCCCCCCCCCCTTCTTCTGAAATAAAAAAGACTTTATTATCAACACGAATGATAAAACCCTGTAGACGTTTAAAAAAAATTGCTTTCAGGTACCCTTACAAGTACCGGTATATGCTTTATAGTGCCAGTTTAACCCACTCCTCCCTCTCCACAACCGAACACAAACACAAATTCTGATAATTGACTTCCACTCAGTTTTTTAATGAACTACCTGACAGATATATTTATGGCGCCCCTCTACCCAGTTGATATTTCCACTTTAAAGCTCAATTTCGTTTTCATATGTTATCCCTCAGATGGCATTAACTTGAAAATAATTAATGGTGACACACAATGGGTAATAATTTAAAATGAAATTGCTTTGATAACTTTGTTTTTCTATTTACTTCTCTTATCGTTGCAGGGACGTAGCAACAGGGGGGCCAGGGGGGGGCCTGGCCCCTCCCACTTTTTTTGCCAACAATACTTTTACTATTGAAAATGTTCATTGAAAGGCTGATTGGCCCCCCACTTTATACTAAAGTAAAGTATTATGAAGGAAATATAGTATTGTAAGCTTAAAAAATGGATATTGGAAGGAATTGGTAGTGAAAAAAGTTTGCCTCTACACCCCCCCCCCCCCCCCCCCCCCCCCGAAATAGGATTTTCGACTTTCGGCAGTTTCCCTTTTTTTTTTTTTTTTGCTTGTCAACTTTTTCAGGTAAGTAGAAAAAAAAAATTCTGTGGCTGTCCCCCCCCCCCACTCTCAAAATCGATGCTACGTGCCTGCGTTGTATATGTATTATATCATTCATGGTGTGATATAAAACAACTATTTCAGAATGCGATATTCATTATCTTAACTCTCTTTTTGGTACAAGGAATAGGGCATTAGACTTTTCAATTTTATAGATTTATCTCATTCAGATAAGTTTCCTTGTCTATCGAGCAATTTCTTTTTTTTAATTAATTTTTTCATTAGTTTGGCTAGATCGAGGCTAGTGCGAGTCAATTCGACACGGAAATCATAAAATTGAAGAGAAGAGGCCGCTTAATGTAGCAATGACAAAGAGGAAAATTTATACAAAATATTAATTTGATATGTTATCAGCATTTTTCAAAAAAAGAATTTTAACTAAAAACTTCAGTGACTTTGATAAAATAGAGTAACTAATTAGTTAATAAGATATAAACTTACAATTTTTCATCTCAAGCGCTATAAATAAACTGCGTGAAATCGTATTACTTTCGGAAATTGTAGTCAAATTCCGAGATCTTTGAAACCATGATAGGCTATCGACAAACAATTAAGACAGTTTCGGGTCCTCAAAACCGCCTAGTAATTCCCAGTTATTCAAAGTTTTTCTAAAGAACTATGACTATCTAATGCGCGATAATGAATGGCATAGAGGATGATATAAAGTAAAATTAAGGATGGAACTTTTCAGTGAATCCCCCATACACTTTTTTGTCGCAATATGGTTAAATCTTTCCCAATAAATATGCAGAATTATTCTTTGTTGGAAAGAGAAACTAGGAACTTAATCATCCCCAAGGATTGAGTTTTTAAAACGGCCAATTTTTGCCGTCCAAGGCACAGGCACTTGTTTTGGAAAAGGTAAGAAAAAAAATTAAAGGGTTTAAAAATTCATTTCCAGTTTTTAATGGAAAAATTGTATTGGATAAATAAAGGATAAGATAGGGTAAGACCACTTTTTGGTCCCTGATTTTGGGTGTCTTTCAGAATGGTGCATTTGTTTATCCATAAAAACCCATTGTCATCCCTGCCACAAAAAGAGTAATGGTTCTAAGTTTTGAAATTCACATAGGTCACAGAGAGGTCATTTTCTTCATTTTTATTCAATTTTTCATTAATTTTACAGCACATTTTGTTTCGAGCACATAGAGCACAAGCCTGCGCCTATCTACCAAATTTTTATAAACAAGTATCAGAGGCAAATTA